GCACTTAAGTTCCTTGGAAGTCTGGCCCTACTCTGCTTCCTCCAAATGCACAGTGACGCTAGCCTATTTACTCTCCTTAAATGGCCCTAGACTTCCCATCTCCATGTCTCTGTTCACACCTTTTCCTCTGTCATCCTTCAGCATCTGATTTCAACATCACCTCTTCTGAGAAGCCTCCCAGAATGCCCCGAATGGAATAGGCTGTTCCTTTGTTACTTTGTTCAGATAACAGTTACAGCACTAAAGACATCACTTCGTGGTCAGTTATGTATCTGCATGTGTGTCTGTTTCTGCCCCCCACCCCAGGATTATAACTTTCCGGGAGGTCTTGGATATAGCAGGTATTCGACAAATTGTTACTGCATCGATTCATTACTAAAGTTAGTAATACCTCTGCAACTTGTGTACATTACCTCTTTTTTGTTTTATGTTGCTCTCTTTTTATCCTGTTGTCCTCATTCATGACAAAGAACATGCATGCTCATGAAAGAGAGAGAAAAGAATAAGAAGTACCCTCGAGAAGGTCTGATCGTGCCACGATCTCCTTCCTCCAGTCCTCCAGCTCATTAGATCCTGGGTTGGGCGTGTTCAGTGTATTTCAGGTTGCCTAGGCCCAGGATTCTAGTCACAGTCGCCATGTGGCCTCCAGCACCATAGCTCTGCACACCATGTCCTGCATCACCCCAGATGGACCCCATTATCTCTTTTCATGGCCACAGTAACCTCGTAAAATAATAAGTACTTTTCTTCCTTGTCAGCTAACGGTCAGACAGGCTAAGATCCATGGCTAAATAAATGGCAGAGCTCAGGGTAGAAATCCTGCCCCACTTGTTGGATCACACATACTGGCTTAGGTTAAGCAAAAGCGTCATAAAGAAATAAAAACTGCAAATTACAAAAGAATTCCAAACATTGCTCCAAGTAACAAGAAGAAGTTGAAAGGCACTCTAATGGCTCAACCAAACGTGTCCTAAAAATGAACCAACACACAAGCAAACTCTGACATGAGTTGTTTTTCTGTAGTAATGTTCTTTGACACAGGAGGAGCAAAGTGGGATGCATAACTCTTATTGTGTTAGGAGAAAGGTCACCGTCTTGTCAACTGGAGAGATATGTACAACTGTCTCATAAGAGGAGGGACAACCAACTCTCCCAGTTTGCGCAGGACAGAAGTTGTCGGATACAGGGCTTTCCGTGATAAAATAGAAGGCCCAGGCAAACCAGAACAAGTCGGTCACCTACATAGAGGGCTCTTTGTCATTTCTGGGAAAGATTAATGTCACCTTCAAAAGTGTGCTTTAGAATTCTTCCCTTAATATTGTCTTCTAAGTCAGTTACTGATTTGGCAAGAAAAATAGCCTTGTTATTTTAGCAATGCCTTGTTTTTGAACAAAATGGCATTACCTCAATAAAATCTAAAAGCCTTTCACATCTTTTCAAAAACTTATATCCCCTTCAAAGGAAAAGATCTTCTCACCAAGAAGAATACCTGAAAAAATGTGCTAAGAAAACCTGGAAGGCAGTTCCCAAAAGGATGTCTCAAAATGTTTGGCATGTCCCTAAGGATGCCAAAGTGGCTCTTGTGAATAGACTATTCACTTGAATGCCTGTTTCTAGAATATTATTTATCAAAATTAAAAAAAAATTAGTATTAACTTATAAATAGTTAGTAGGTATTAAAACACTTTCAAGTTGCATTACCATTAAAGCAACGAGGGAAGAGGGCAGGCTGCCAGAGGCTCAGCCATTTGCTGGTGTCCAAATGTGGTTTTAATATGCACATGCATATTCTTTTCTTCCACCATTAAGAAAGATCAGAGCTCCAGTCAGAGGCATCCACAGAAAGGAAAAGCTATGCCCAAATTCATTAGTCATGACTGGTTATCTGACCACAGACAAAACCAGTTGTTTGCTTGTTTTCTTATGAGGAAATGGATCTTGATTAAAGCCAGAGTCACTGGTAATGAAAATGTGTGAGGCATTTGCATTTCTAGGGCATGCCTCAGTTTCACAGATCTTGTATTTCAAAGCAGGAACTCTGATTGGGGCAACACTTTCAAGTCCTGAAACCTGTAATTAATGCCAGAGATCTTCAATGAATGGCTGTCTTTCATTATACGAACATAAAGGAGCCTTGGAGCACTTGAATACTAACTTATCTTCTAGATGCCACAGAAGCCTCTGTTTATGTTCCGTTGTAAAGAACACATGCAGTAATAGCAAGCCCAATAAATAAATAAAGAATGTGAAGAAAGCTGCCATCGTGAGCCCCCCAAATAGACAAACTCTTGTGATTCGCCTTCCGATTCTAAGAAGAGTTATTGAGTGCTTACTGTCCCAGGCATGATTCTCAGAACTTCGTACTTCATTACTCTCCAAATCAACTCAATGAAATAGAGTATTAGATTTTTGCCATCGGGCACATGCACTTGCCAGAGGAGACAGAGAGATGGAGAGAGAGAAAGTGAGAAATCACCTCTCCAGCGGTCTGGTCACACTGCAATCCCTTCTCTTCCATTCTCTTTTCGGGATTTTGGGCATTCATACACATACATGTGTGGTGTGTTTCTCAAGCCACTGGACCCAGGACCCAAACAGCAGAGTTGGCCACATGGGGTCCAGCACTTTATCCATCATAGCATCTACCGAACCATAGATTCATATTTTTAATAATGACTTTTTAAAAATTTGCTATAGGGTATGTGTGCTTTCCTGAGAGAGAGCAAGCGAGTGAGAAATCCCTTCAGGAGGGATGACCACCCTGAAGTCTCTTCTCCATTCATCTCTTGGGATTTGGGGCATGCTCCCACACGTGCCTGGCATGTTTTCAAGCCACTTTGTCTAGGACTTAAACAGCAAAGTTGGCCACGTCGGACCCAGCGCCTCAAGCACCATACCACCTAGCTGGCCCCTTAATCCTGATTTTTACAGAGAAGAAAACGGAGGCGCAGAGGAATTAGGTAACATATTCAAGGTCATTCCCTTTGAGCAGTAAATGAATTCAGGCCAGGGAGCCTGACTGCAAAGTCCATGGGCTCAACACTGTACTTAAAGGCCCTGGTCTCGCACTGAGAGTCTGCCCTTCTCCTCCAGGATCGTGCCCAGCCCTCCACTCCAGCCATCACCACCTCCTCCCTCTGCACCAGTTACTCCTCAAGCTCTCCCTCTTCGTCCATCTTCCTGATGTCTCAATGCTCCTTCAACTCAATGCAGCCCCAAGTGTTTGTGTCATCCTTGCCTTCGGACCTGCTAGTCCTTTCTGTCCCGTGCCTCAGCTGCTGTAGTTGATAACACTCTTCTGCACCTCAAAACCAGCAGGGGCTGTGCTGCATTCTTCCATTCCATGAATTCTCTCTGCACTGTGACATCACTCCTGCCCCCCACCCCACCCTACTCAGCAGTCCTCTTACATAACTACGGCAATGACCTCCCAGGAAGTCATTCCCGTCCCCCTGTGTGGCTGCCAACTCAGTCTCTATCCCTTCACTCAGATCATCTTTCCAAAGGGGAATGCTGGTGGACGGGAGCCACAGTCCTGTGATTCACAGGGCACAGGACTCCAGCACTAAGGCCTTCCCAACGGCCTTGAGCCGATCATTCTCCACAGTCACTCTACACGGAGTCCGGTGTAAGTCCAAAAACCACACAGCTAGCGCAATCCCACATTCCTTCCACCAAAATATATGCTGCCTCCCATTCAGGAAATCTCTCTTCTCCTTATATAAGGAGTTAAGGAGAAACTCCTCACTCTGACACCCAAGGCCCACCCAAGCATGGCCCCAACCAACCTTCCAGATGCCATCCTCCACACAGCCCCTGTTAGTGTCCTTACCACATTCTAAGTAAAGAGAAGATGTGGAGACAGGGAAGGTGGGGGGGTCAATAAGACTTCGGCCATAAGGTGGTTGGATGTTCTGGACTAAAATTCAGTATTGTCTTCCCATTGAAGACATACATCTTCATGATTATTCTGACTCTATAAGAAGACTAAGAAAATAGATGTTACAGATGTTTCTCATTTCTCTTGCCCCCCCCCCCTAATCAGGCCATGAAATGAGACATCCATCACATCTTTTTTTTTTTCTTTTTGCTATAGGGCGTGTGTGCTCACCAGACAGACAGAGAGAGAGACAAAGAGACAGAAAGCAAGAAATCACCACACCGCAATCCCTTCTCCTCCATTCTCCTCTTGGGATCTTGGTAATGCACACACATACATGCGCCCGCTGTGAGTTTAAGTCCCCGGGTCCAGGACTCGAACTGCAGTTGACTACATGCGAGTCCAGCCACATAGCCATTACACCAACTGCTGGTCCCCATCACATCTTTATTACAAGAAAATGTATGACAGTTCTTTTAAAGGGGCCCCACAATGGGCAGACTTCCTGCCCGTGCACAAAGTTAGACCCAAGAACTTCTGAGTCCCAGAACTAATGTATATTCCCTCTAAGGTTAAGGGGAGGGAAGACTGGGGGGTTGCTGGGGCCAAGGGCCTGGTGAACAAAGCTGTAGGCTCCATGGTGTGGACTGCTTGGCAAAGTTATGTTTCTTCTTCATTATAGTGAAAAACTCATTAAGATTTTCCAATTTTAAATAAAGAATCTGGAAAAAATATTTTCCAGTTTTATAATAGACTTTATTTCTTCACAGCAGCTGAAGGTCCACAGCAACACTGAGCAGGAAGTGTAGCGATTTCCTGTATCCTCCCTTCCCCTACACAGCTAGCTGCCTCCATCAGCAACATCCCACACGGAGTTGTGCATCTGTCATAATTAATGACACATTATTGTACCCAAAGTCCACTGCCATTACTTTTCGAAATGGGTATAAATGCCTCTAAATTCTGTATTCCTAGAATGTACATTTCACATGTTAAATGAGGCCATACTTCTTTCCATGCTTAGCCACAGCAAGTTTATTATCGATTCTATTAATAAACCAAGCGGCCCTACTGCTAGGTAATTACCACTTTCCTTTCTAAGTGCCACAAACCATCTGCTTAGTAATCCTTTCCAGAGTTTGGCTAGGTTACTTGGCAAAATTTTCTCCACGTCTGTGTTTTGCATCATTGATAATAATAATAGCCAGTTTTAATGAGGACTTGTTATGTGCCCTGTGCAGACATCATCCCATTTAATTCCATAACAATCCAAAGAGGGCTATTTTCCCATCACACAGTTAAAGAAACAGAGACTGAAAGAGACCAGGCAACTTGTCTGAAGTGCTCCAACTGTTAAATATTGAAGCCAGGGGACCAGCAGGTGGCATGGTGGTTAAGGCGCTGGACACTCCCACATGGCTGACCAGGGTTCGAGTCCTGAATCTGGTGGCTTGCTTTCTCACTTCCTCTCTCTCTCACTCTCACCCTCTGTCTCTCTCTGGTCAAATTAGAAAGCACAAATAAGCAACTATTCAGTAAATAAATATAAATAAAAATGAAATACATTATGTTCCATAATTGTACAAGACCTATTTCTGAGCCCCTATATTTATGTCTTTTCTTCTCCTTCTTTTTTCCTTTTTTCTTGAACAGAAATAGGAGCCATCAGAATAAGCTGAGCCAAGTCAGTGGAAACAGAGATAAGAGAATAAACTCTGGAAAGAAAAAGGTCAAGACTTGAAATCCAGCTCTGCCACTCAGTAGCTGAGTGACCAGAGGCAGCCACGTCATCTCTCCCACACCAAGTCTTCTTGTCTGTTGCTCATTTCATGGGCTTGCTGGGATGATTAAATTAAAAAAGAATAGGGAGAGAGGCTGAGAGGGAAAGCCCCTTAGGAAATAGGCAAGCTGGTCCCAAGGCAAGGTGGAAGAGAAGCCAGTTTAGAGACTCATTAAGAGCCAAGATGAGAGCAACTACTTGTGATCTACACTCATGTCCCCTCCTGGGACTGTCAGACGACAACTCTGCAATACCCCACCCAACAAACTCCACCCCACCCAGACTTCATGAAATACCTGGGCCTGCTTTTGCAGGAGTTTTGTTTCCGACATTCAAATGTCAATTAATGTTCAGCTAAGGAAATACAACCAAGTCCTTCCTGCCCCAGATCCACAGTCAACCCCAAATCACCCTGGGCTATCCAAGCTCACATACAGCCCACTCCAGCATCATCAAATGCAGAACAACTTGAGGAGCTGAGGAGCTCTAACCCTGGGTGTGTATGTGTGTGTGTGTGTGTGACTTCAAATCTAATCAAATTTGTGTTTGATCATTCAACGACTATCCACATTTCCATATACAGAATGGTGTTGGGCTAGGGTACAAAGATGCCATGGCACATGCTGGTTCTGTTTCCTGGAATGTCCTAGACTCCCACCACGATTGCCATTTCCTCATCTGCCTGTTCCCCTTTCATCTGGCTCTTTAGAGAAAAGCGGTTGAGGACTGTCCCTGTAGTCTAGTGTTAAGGAAACTAGATTCCACATGGCCATCCACTGTTCAAATCTCAGTATTGACCACTTGAAAAACATGCTGGGTGCATGTGTGTGCATGCCCCAAATCCCAATAAAAGAGAGAAACAAAGGAGAGAGGATTGCAGAGTGACCATGCTCCATTGAAGGGGTTCTCTCTCTCTCTCTCTTTCTCTCTCCCCTCCCCTTCTCTTTTAAGAGTACAAACCTTCTGAAAAAAAATTTTTTTAAAGAGAGAGTGAGAAAGAGAAATGGTTGAGAAACACTGATTTAGTCAGTTGAAGACTTTGGCAGAAGGCGGGGATAGAAGCCATTGAAAAAGAAAGCCCTTTCTCCCCCTGCCTCTGTGTTGGGCAACATCTCTCTCTGCCTTGAATCTAGCAACCACCAACTTATGCTGCTGCTAACCCAGCTCTTGAGATCCACAGACTGTTTCCGCATTTGTCTCTTTGGACTAGGGGTGAGAGCAGCATCTGCTGCTGTTAATCCCATTAGGCTTCTTAGATCTCCCATCATTTATAGAATCATTCCTGTTATTAAATTCCCTCTATTAATAATGGGAGAAAAATGGGGCCACTCTCTTTGGCTTCGTGGGCTATGTACTTTATATTAGTGTGGAAAACATTTTTCAAATTTAATTAAAATATTTTAAAACTTCCAGAAGGAATGGTGGTTCATATTTTAAGTTAAAATAATAGTAGTTGGCCCATAACAAAAGAAGCAGAAGGCAAGATGGAGTGAAGACAAAGAATAAGACGCTTTTACTGAGGGCAGAGGACATGTCTTACTTTCCTGCGTCCTGGAGCCCAGGCAGTGTCTCTGGGGTATAGTGGATCCTTGTTAATATTTGGCAGATAAGATGAGGTGGCCCAAGGGGTTTGGTAACACAGACTAGTCACTGCCCAGAACCAACAAGCCTACTAGGGACACCTTCAGGCCACAGACCATTTGAAATGCTCTAGAGGCTTTCCAATTAGTCAGCCCAGTAGACAAACTGGGTCACACATGAGTCTGGCTCCTTTTCCTCCCATCTAAGCCTTTCTGCATGAAGGAGCCAAAATTGTTTAAGAAATTTGAGGGGTATATTTTAGTTTAAGACAATGCTAAGAGGTTCTCTTTTTCCTTAAAAAATAGTAAGTTTGTTTCTTCCATTAGCAAGAGACACAGAGAGAAAGAGATAGACGGAGAGACAGCACCCCCAACAAGGTCTTGGCACCACCATCAACCTCCAGCCAGGCCAGTCATGGATCAGGGGCAGCACCTGCCCAGCATGCTCAGGGAGTCTCTAGATGTGCACCTGGAACCTTCCCATGGGGATCAGCCTTGGAGAGCACTATTTTATCACTCATCACCTTCCAGTCTTCCTTCTCCTCTCTGAAGTTTGTCCTTGATTGATGAACTTATCCCATCCTCTTAGGGTTAAAAAAAAAAAGAGAGAGAGATAAGGGAGTCTTTCTAAAGCCTACTCTTATTCCTACACTGAGTGACATGGAGCAGTTCAACTCCATCCTCTTCCTTAGCCACCTTTACTCTAGTTAATAAATGTAAACATTTTTAATGATATTTTAAAATTCAAATCAACATACTGATTTTCCCAATAGGCTGTAGGAACTTTGTGAGAAGAAACTATTCCCTAATCATTTTTATATCCCCATACTGTCTACTGTTACCTATAACAGGTACTTCATCATTCATTCAACAAACCTGGACCAAAGAAGGAAACAGTAAGCCAGGTATCCACAGTGCCTGTGGGTGCATGTTGGGTGACCAGGAGGTCAGCAATGGCAAAGACCACAAGAATATGGGGAAATGGTATAAAGAAGAGGGGAAGGGCCCCAATGACACCCATAACCCCGGTGGGAAGCATGGAGAATATCACCTGCCCTGAGCTGTGTTTTAAGAGGCAAAGAAAGAAGCCCCCTCCTCTCTAAAGA